TGTCACAACACTCCTACTTCTACAAATGAAAAAAAGGCACCATTCAATCCAATATAAGGAGGACTGTGCAGTCAACCACCCTGCCCCCCATCAAGGTCTTGTTGGAGTTTTTGAAGTACTAGGAATGTCTGGTATTTGCCCCAAATATTGGTTATTTAATATTCTCCAGCAATGGAAACCAACCAATAAAAATCACACCTGGAAAATTAAAAGTGACTGGTGGAATGGATATTTCTCTTTCTGTCAAACCTCAGTTCTAAATTGCACTGCGGCCTTTGACTCTAACATAGGGATCCCTGACCCCTGAGTATTTATTTTTCTGATACAATTTTCTTTAATTTGGAGATTTTCCCATGCTAGGAATTGCAGCAGAGGCCCGTTTCATAACAATAAGGATACCGCTTAAGAAATACCCAGCTATGTTTTCCTTTTTTTTTGGAGGCCTGTGCCTGCTCCTAGTGAGGTACACTTGCTAAGCACCTACAGTGCCCCCGACTTAGCACCCTCATTGCTATAATTACACTAGCAAATCCAGAATCACTGAGACTAACGGCACAGCTTGTAGCTCAGAACATTTGCAAAGCTTTGGAAACAGTCCAAGGGTTTGGGAAAGCCTGAGGAGGCAGCTCCTTACATTGTCCCTTGAAATGTGGGCTCCTAGCACTGAGAAAATATATTCATCTAAGAGGAAGAACAATGGGAAGGAAACACGTACAGAAAGTTTTAAGTGACACAGCATTTCCATTCGATCATTCATTTGCTAGTTCCTTCATTTGCTTAACAAAGATTTATTGAGTATCCACACTAGGTCAGGCACAGTTCTTGATGTTGAGAGCACAAGAATGAGTGAAACATGGTCTCTCCCCTGAAGGGGTTCAAAGAATGAAGAGGGAGGGAGAGAAACCTGAAACGCATCTCATAGCGTGCTAAGCAAAGCACAGTGGCCTGGCCATGCATTTAACAGTGAAAGCAAATAGCACAGCCAAGAAGGGGTAGTGGGGGAGGGTCCCTCCAGTCCCCCAAAGGGCAGGAAGTGATGCTAGGCACATAACAAATCTAGACTGGGACCAAGACATGGTGGGTGACTAGAAGTGGCAGACTGACGAGTTAGAGGGAGCAGTCAAGGGCATCTCTTGTCCCTACAGCAGACCATAAACTGAAATCCAGAAGGTAGAGCCAGCATGCAGTGGGCTTCAGGGAGCTGGTGATTGTTTGAGTTTTGAGGAGAGTTGGCAATACTTCAGGAACATACCCCAGAAGAGGTCTGATTTTGAGGGACAAATCAGGCCTAATGCTTTTCTCATTATTTGGGCTGAGCACACAATGGATTCTTATAAAACACCAAAAGAATAAATAACTGTGTACAAAGCCCTCTCTTGTGGGGTCATATCGTCACACCACCTCCACCACAGACGTCTACTATTAGCACATTTTATAGATAGGCACACTCCTTCAAAAGTCTTCTGGCATAAGCAAGGAGCTCTTTCTCAGGTATATTTGACACATACTCCACTCAAAAAAAGAAAGAGAGGTGGATGACATGAAATGGCATCCAATTTCATATTCATCAGGGAAATGCAAATTAAAGCTACAATAAGGTTTCGGTAGAATTGCACTAGAATTCTACCGAAACCTGTCAGAATCCAAAACCTGTCAAAATTAAGTACTGGTGAAGATGTGGGTAAATAAAACCTTCATACCTGTTGGTGGTAAAGTGGCAGGCTACTATGGACAATGGTTGGCTAGTTTCTTACAGAGGCAAACACACACTTATCATAGGCCTTAGCAATTTCACTTCTAGATTTTTAACCAAAAGAAATTAAAATTGACATGAAACGAATATGTAAATGTGTATTGCAGCATAAATCATAAGAGCAAAAACTGAATACAATCCAGAGGCCTATCAAGTACTAAATGGATGAGCCAATTGTTCATACAGTGTAACACTATTTAGCAATGAAAAGGGATGAAGAACTGGTAAAGCCTAAACTTTGAACAGATCTCAAAATTATTAAGCTAAGAAGAGACACTAGACACAAAAGACCTCAAGTTGTCCAAGCAAGGAGGCACATACCTATAACTCCAGCTACTCAGGAGTCTGAAGTAGGAAGATCACAGGTTTGAGGCCAGCTAGGGCAACTAAGTAAGAATCTTCAAATAAAATAAAAGGGGCTGGCGGGGGGGTGGGGGGTGCAGTGGTACAGCACTTGCCTAGCATGCACACAGACCTGTGTTCCACCCCCAGCACTGCAAAAACAAAGTCAACAAAAAAGATCCCAGTTTATACAATTTCACTTATAGGAAATTTCTAGAAAAGCAAATCTGTAGAAATGGAAAGCAGATTAGTAGTAGCAAAGGGGTGGGGAAGGCATGAAAAGTGACTGCAAATCAATGTTGGGGCTGGTGGCATTGTAGGTGAAAAATATTATACATTTATTAAAGTTCATCAAAATACGTACTTTCAATGGTTTGATTCTAAAGTATGTAAATTACACCTCACCAAAACTCTTAAAAAAATAACAACATCAACAAAATAAAATACACAAGCAAAAGAGTTAGAGAGGAGGTCCTGGCATAAGCAAGGAGCTCTGTCTCAGGTATATTTGATATATACTCCACTCAAAAAAAGAAAGAGAGGCAGATGACATGAAATGGCATGAATTTCATGCCATTTCAAATGAATCTGTGCTGGCCCTTGGAGACCAGGCAGGAAGTCAACAGAATAAGAAACTTCCAGGCAAGAGAGCGGCACAGACTGCATGAAAGTGAGAGAGTGGCTGGACATGCTTGGGCAAGAGCCAGAGCACCCACTTTTGAGTGGCTGTTTGGACAGAGAACAGTACACAAAAGACTGAAACAACCAGTTGCGGCCAGACCAGATACCAGAAGCTGAGAATGGTCAGATAATGCATTTATGACTTAATTTGGTAGGCAGTGGCCAGCCAGTGAACATTCCAGAGTACAGGAATATCCCGGCATAGATTAATGGAACAGCATCAAGGAATGTGTGTTAGAAGGGCCAGCCACCATGGCATAGGAACAAACAAAAGGCCAATAACTAGACAGTGAGTGAGGGCCAAACTGTGAGCTCTTGCCTGTGTGGATAATGCAAAAAGACAGAGAGACTTATGTAGCAGATAGAAAGGTAAATAATAACAGACACCACTTAGCACTTTCTATAATCCAAGGTCTGTTTTAAAGAATCGCTGTTCTAAAGGAAAGACAGAGTTAAGAACATGCCATATACAGAGCTAGTCAAATGGATAGATGATCATCTGCAGTTTGCTCCAAAGAAAAAGAATAAAGATTAGAGAGGCCATAAAATGCTTATCTAAGGTGCGTTGCGGGAGCCATGGATAAGGAAGCTTGTAACTGAATAAGTAACGGTGAAACTTCCGTGGTGGAAGGACAGTAAGTGAGACAAACGACCAAGGCGGGTTTATAGGGCCCTTGGCCCAGGAAAGCTGGAGTGCCGTACTGCTGCTCCATGTGGGTATCACTGATTCCTTTTTTTTTTTTTTTTTTTTACAGTACTTGGGTTTGAACCTTTTTTTTTTTTTTTTTTTACAGTACTTGGGTTTGAACCCAGGGTCTCATGCATGCCACATGAGCTCTCTACCACTGAGCCACACTCCCAGCCCAACCCAGATTCTCTTAATGTAGATAGTACACATTATGCATGCTAGGGCTGTTGTTTGAGGTCATATAGTGTTTATAAGCATTTTAAAATTAGGTACCAACACTGAAACATCTGGAAATCTCACATAAAGTAGGGAGATTATCAGCTTCCCTTAAAATTTAGTATTGTCAACTATGTGGCCCAATCCTACAAGGTATTAGTCAGTCAAAGCTGAGTGCCCCCATCTTCCTAAAATATTAGGAGGTATGCTTCATCTGTTCATTCATTCACTCACTTACTCATTCTTTCATTCATTCATTCCTTTATTCAATAAGTATTTACCACGCACCTACTATATGACAGGCACTTTTGAAGGACATGGAGACATAGCAGTTAACAAAGCAGATGAAAACATTTGCTCCCTTGGAGCTGCTATTTTCACAAGGAAAGCTAGAACAATAAACAAATGAAGTGATCGATAATGCAGGTAATAAGCCCTAAGAAAAATAAAATAAGCCACAGAGGTTGGAAGAGGGTAAACAGGTGGCAGACACTGTAGCTACAGAGTCAGAGGAGGAAAAAAATTATCTGATCAGGTGATACTGGAGCAAAATCTAATTAAAATAAGAAAAGCATGCCCAGATACCAAGGGAACAGGGAGTGGAACCACATGTTACATGTGGGAGAAAGTAAACAGGTGAGCATGGGGAGGGGCACCGCAGGCCTAGCGACAGCTTGCGTCTCTCTGAGTAGGATGTAGGTCCTTGGCCAGGCTTGCGTAGAGGCGTGAGGGGGCGGGACATTTGCAGTTATGTTGGGAACTGACTCCTGTAAGCTTCCCAATATTTAATCCTTGTTTTAAAGCAAAAGGGATGGAGTATAAAGGTTAGAACAGGTTTTATATCTGGGGTGCCAGATGTTGATCTTTTAGCATATACCTTTAAACTAGAATGCTCTCAAACTTAATATTGACATTGAATTAGATGGTAGCTGTGGGTAGAGTTAAATACACTTAGAAAATAAAGCCCACAGAATCTGAGACTGGGTACCACATGACCCCATACCGGAAGGAAAGGCTCCTGGTAGAAGATTCCAGCTTGCTCACTTACCAAAAAATGCCTCTCCTTTTCTCCTTGCCAGTCATATCCCCACCCGTCGTGCTATAGTCAACCTCTTAGACACATCCTAAGTATTGCTGGTTTTGAACGTTGAGGTAATTTTCATGTTCTCCCAACATGGACAGAAACAATTTGATTTTTGTTCTCCAAAAAGGAAAAAAGTGATGAATGGTATTAATGTTTGTGTGATCCGGTTTTCCAGACAATCCATTCTGAGACCCTGAAGCATTTGAAACACTTGCAAGGGAGACACATCTACTCACAATCAGAACGTGATCTCGGCCCATTGTGATGACTGTCCGGTTCACTATGCGAAGCAGCTGCACCATGATTTCTTGAATGTGGTGATAGGTGAAGGCCTGTAACATAGGCAGAGACACTGTGTGACAACCACGTTATGCTAGCCTTGCCTTCTAAAGACTCAGATATGACCTCCCAAATGGTGATCGCCAACACTGTTGCTACCACAACCAACATCAATATCACTGTTATTACTACTATCGTCATCACTGTCATGTCACAGTTCGAACCCCCATCACTTCGCACCCTGTCCCAGAAACTCCATAATCGCCTTCAGCATAAGTTAGTGATGAGGCTCTGGAAACAGGAACTTTGTCTTTAGAATACTCGCTCTAACAAGACTTAGTTGTGCTACACTGGCTCAGTCACATAGCTTCCCTAGACCTATGTTTCGTCATCTAACAGCTAGAATCTAGCTCGAAATAAGGATGGAGTTTAAAGGAGGAACTTGGTTATACAGTGAACAGAAAAGCTGAAGTCTCAATAGCAGAACAGTATCGTCCCAAGGCTGAACAGACTAATGGAAGAGGCAGCATCCTTGGATGCCAGGGATTGGGGTCATGTGGTGGAAACTGGCCACTGTGGGTGTATAGCCAGCAGAAGCAGCGTGGCGCACAGCGGGGTGAAAATTCAAGGTAAGCCAGTTTGTAACATCTGTCATAGTCATCTCTTTAACTACAGCTCCCTACATTTCCTCCTAGCCTTGCTGATAGTCACTGAGCTTTCACTGTGGGCAAGCGAGGTTTCCACATCTGTGTGTGTTTGTCTATATCCACAGGCCATGTTGCAATGCAGTTTCCAGGCACAATTTCCCCCCATGCATCTCCGTGATGGTGGGCAGGACCAGGGAGAAAGGCCCCACAATCTTAGATGCTGAGATCTTAGATTCTGAATTTCAATCTTTTTGGTTGTGGGGTTTTTTTTTTTTGTTTGTTTGTTTTGCTTTTCAGTCCCGTGTACCGAACTTGGGACCTTGTGCTTGTCAGGCAGGTGCTTATGTCACTGAGCTATCTCCCCAGCCTTAGATTCTGAGTGTCAACGTAATGCTTGTCAGTAGTGTGACCTCACTTAGCACTTAACCTTTCTAAGCCTTGGTTTCTTCGTTCACAAAATGTGGGGAGGTCCTCTCAAGTTTGAAGCGAACCTCAGAGAGATGTATGCAATGCTGGAAGAAACACACAGGTGAGTCCCCTGAGGAAGATTCTGTAGGCCCGACATAGAGTCTGGGCACAGGCAGTGCCTGGTGTTCAGGTGCATCCATGGCATGACTGAGAACCATGACACAACCTCAAGTGAAGACCTGGAGGTTGGGGCTCAGGCTTGGGAAGAATATGGTGTCTCCAATCCTAAGGGAAGCTGCTATGAAGAAGGCACTAAATAAGCGGTGGCTGAAAAGCTGAATGAACACGCACACTCACTCCTAGGCAGGTGAGCAAGCTTTGTGCATTGCTACATTCAACTCAACTGTAGTTTTGTATCTCGGTGGAGCCTATGATAGGAAATAGCTCCATCGTTGGAGGAGGGCAAGGAAAAAAGGACATGCTTATTAAAAATGTCCTCGCTTCCTAACAGGCTTTGGATGACTATTGACATCCAGTGATGAATCACCCTGTGCTTGCTTTTTCTTTTTGTCTCAAACTCAATTCTTCAGCACTGTGTCTAATCCACTTCCTCCAGCCTGTGCAACTTCGAGCAGAACCTCAAGGTCCTGTCCGAGCCTGTATCTTACACAAAGGAGTTTCAGGCTCTGTCATGTGCAGCCAAACCTGGCTTTCTTTGGACTTGCGTTCCTGATTCTGAGGCTCAGAGGTAGGAAGGGCTGCGTTTCCCTGTATTTCTTGGTCAAGGGCAAACCTTTCTCCTTTATTTCTTCAAGCCTTTATACTGACTTAAAATCTCTGATTTCTTTGGTCATGTTAAAATGATATTTACAGTTAGCACAGCAATAGCAGACCTTTGCAAGTGTAGCGCTTCCTAAGTGTCCGGCCTCCTGCTAAGCACTTGACTGGTTTTCACATCAACATAAGCAACAGTATGCTCTCCACTAATCAGATGAGGAAACCGAAGCCCAGTGAAGTTAAGTAACTTGACCAATGTCACCCAGCTAGAAAGTTCGGGAAAAAGGATTCCGATTCAGCAATCTAGCTCCAGAGTCTGTGTTTCTTCACAGCTCACCCAGCCAGATGAGAACATAATCGGAGCTCTCTGGTTGCTGTTTTGAGGGCTTTGTCAGTCTCCTTCCATTTGTCAAGAAGGGTAGACTTAGTCTCCATTTGGACCAACTTATAACTCCTTCATTGACTTCTGATTTCTTCTTCTTTAGAAAAATCTTTGGTTCTGTGTTCATTATCTAGTATCTTCTTTGCATTCCTTTATAATTTCATCAAATTTCTATAATAGCTTCCATTTGATTCAATTCTGGTCTAGTAGGACATCTTTTCCTTTACCAACAGAGATATTAAACCCCCCTTTCCTCTTGACCTTCTGCCTCTTGCTTCTTTTAAACAGCCATTTCTTCTTAGTCCAAAAAGCAGCAATTAGACTGCTCTGGAAGTTTGATATTTAAAAGTGAGAAACTGTCAAATTCAATTCACTTCACTCTGAGGGCTCCCACCGTGGGCGGGTATCTAGCAGAATGTTTTGAGATCAGACAGACTTGAGTTTGAATCTTAACTCTAACTTGAGCTGAGTGACCTTGGCCAAATTACTTTTGCTCTCTGACTTTTAATATCTGCATTCATAAAATGTGGCAAATGCTCGAAACCTTGAGGTTATGGGCTTGCAGAATAAATTAGATAACGCAGGTGAAAGCCCTTGGTGACAGAATTCAGCACAAGCAATAGAAAGCCCCGTGTAAGTGGTGGCTGCAACTCATAATTCCCTTGGTCTGCAGCAGCCTTCAGGCTGGGCTTGCAGATTCACAGCACGTAGAAGGAAGTGCAGTACAGGGCAATGCATAATATAAACTCTGGGTGATATGGAAATGTCACCCAAAGAACGTATAGCATAAATGCAAATGGAAAACTTTCAAGATGATAAACCTGTGCTAAGCAGTAAAAGTGCGGCCACAAATCACCAGCTGTTAATTGCTCTAGTGCCAGCAAGTGGGGGGAAACTCTACGAAAGTGTCTTCGGGGCCTGAACTAAACGGTGGCTTGTAATTGAAATGACAAAATCAGTCTTCCCATTATGGCTCTGGTAAAGAAATTAATCCATCCAACCTAAACACAGTGCAAATTGTACTGATTTTTTTTCTTTTAATAATTATAGGCTATGATATCTGGGAGAGACTTTAAATGAGTTGTATGCATAAGTCTACCGTATAACACAGTAGAAAGAGAACTCACATGAAGAGAGCTAGGGTAGGGGCTAGGCCGGAGGCTGTAGCCAACGCTTGTCTTGATTCACTGTAAGCCTTAGGTTTTTGTAGAATACAGTTTAAAGCCACTGTTTGCCACAGCATTTCCAGAACAATAAGAGGTCACACCACCCATGAAATGATTTTAAGTAATAAAACACAGATACTGCATTTCGTAACACTGCAAGGTATCCTGTCTTCTTTTTCTTTCAACCCTTTTTATGATACCGAGGAGAGAAATGTCTTTCTGGTAATCTTCCTCTTTCATGAAAACTTAAATTAACAAAGAGGGGAGGCCTTGGGCCATAGTAGGCAGTAGACAAACAGCATCTCCTTAGAATTGAAAACTGATCGGTTTTGAATGTGTTTTTAAAGTTATTTATGGGGCCAGTGAAGTAGCTCAGTGGACTAAAGCACCTACTTAGGCAAGTTTAGGAAAGCACAGGGACCATAGTTTGATCCTCTGCACCATATGCTGTGCCAGACCCACCCCCAGGGCAGGCTGAGCAGGCCAAGACTGGGCATGGTGGCACAGGCCTATAATCCCAATGCTGGGGAGGCTGAAAGCAGGAGGATCACCATGAGTCTGTGCTGTACAGTGAGACTCTGCAACAACCAAATACATTAGAATAATAATAATAATAATAATAATAAAGTTGTTTATATGCATGGCAAATGTGCAGAAAAAGATCTAAAACTTGAAAATAGGAAAAAAAGAAGATCATGTGACATATTAATGGGACATTTCTGATAAACCCAACTGAAGCTCCTTTCTCAGACCAACCATCTGCAACTGATCAGAAACCAGAGATGCTATCATCCTATAGAATCAGAGGACTTGCCAAGGGTATAAAAGGAAATGTCCAAAAAAGCAAAACAAAACAAAAAAACCCAAAACAACTGCAACAAAACCCCAAAGTTTGATGTTCATTGGTTCATTTGCAAAAGACTATTTCTACTGCTCTATCAGGTTTACATGTCTTACATCTAATATCTAATTACATGTCTTACATCTAATGAGCAAGTATCTCTCATCCCATAAGAAACCAAGAATCTTACATACTTTTGACCAGATCATTTTTATTCAGCTTGTTCTCTGGTGGATAAATTACATAAAACTAGCACATGCGTCAGTATTTAGTTCTAGAGGATATTTTTAGCAAATTGGGAATTCTACTTTTATACAAGTGATGCTGATTATTTACACCAATTATTAAAAATTTATTTATTTTTATTTTTTATATTTATTTTTGCAGAACCAGGGATTAATAGGCATGCCTTTTTTAAAAAAACATTCTCCAAGGTTCATTTAAAATCACCAACCATAAATATAAATAACCAGCAGTCCCAGATTTTGCAGTCACCAGAGGAACTTTTTTTTTAACTTCTTTTCATTATTACAGTAGTTATTCAGTATTTATGATCACACTTCCAATAATATGCTTGCATGACTCCATTTCCAAATACTTTTTTTACTTAGTGACATTTTCTATTAACTACCCTCCATAAAAGACAACATTACACTCTTCTTTCCCTGGGCCTTTATCAGACACCTGCACCTCTCCCATTTCTCCTTCCTCCCATACAACTATGCTATCATTTTTGTTGTATCAATATTTTGTATTTAATTTTTTAAATAATTTTATTGAGAAACAAATAGCAATGAGACAGTTTCAAAACCGATTAATAGGACAGTTTCAA